AATCTCGAAAAGGGTCCAGAAGGAGACAGAGACCAGTTACTTCAACATTCGACTAATGAGCCTCAAAGGTCAAATACAGCCAGGAGCCACTAAAAGATCAACAAACCTATGATAAACTGAAATCAACAGACTACAGACGGAAAAGCGAAAAAGAAAAAGATAAATATAGATTTGATTGGAGTTTTGAGAGTGTACGAGGAAGTGATTATGCTGATGGTTTGCTTCAGTAGCAACAGCGAGAGGAGAAAACGTAAAATATATATTTATATCCGTCTGTAACAAAAGTCGGAACAACTTTTTCAAACTCCAATGGACATTATGGGGCCGGCAGTGTACAGTGTACACAGTCGGAAAAAATAAATAATTTCCGGTTGGGAGTAGCATTTAGCGGATTTTATCAGACCAACAAATAGAATTATATCTTTTTTCACACGTAGAAATTCATAAACGTTTTTTTGCCATCATATTAAGATCATATCCAACCAAAAACTCATTTTTAACCTCATTGTAATGTAACTGTCACATAGAAAAAGTAATTCTTCTCTAACTGATTAACTGCAGTTGGCTGAATTATAATAGATAATAATTTTTTTATACAATCACTTTTGTTTGTTTAACAATATAAAAAAAATATATTTATTAAAAAAATATATATATTTTAAAAAAATAATATTCTCCCTTAGTTAATACCACGATTTTCATAGGCGCGAATCTCTCTATAGAATTAAATGAGTTGTATCGAAGCAAAGCAAAATTCAGTCCACGTTTGATGCTATATAAGCCATGAATGAAAAAGATAGTCAGACTTACCCCTTATAGCTCATTTGGATAAAAAGCTTTTCAAAAAAATAGTATAATTATATTTTATAAAATAGTGATAAATGATAATACAAAATGATAATATCATTCCACTCCTATTAAATTCAATTCCATCATACGAATCATGTCGGTCTTTTATGCTTTCCATGTTTATACACATTGCCAACTTCGATCAGCCAGCTCTTTTAGCCAGCTTATGACTCATTAGCTGCTATAGATTAGGCCTATAAACACAAGTAGCAAAAATCGAGGAAATCGAAATAACAGAAACCACCCTAGAAGATTTGCCTAAATTACAAATTACTCCATTTATCTCAACCAATAATACCCTTAAAAACTGTTGAGAGGGTAGTTTTATAATTTCTTTTTTTTTTAAAAAAAAAATAGACAGTTTTTTGTAACTTCATCTAACCAAGACAAACATAAACGAAAATAAGCAGCAAATTAGAGATGCAAATCTTGAAAATCAAGCACTCAAACCGGCCCAGTTCTTAAACGCAACCAAAGCCTCCATTTTCCTCGTATTCCTCTTTCTCAACTTGGACACCTTCAACTTCTTATGCTTCTCCATGAAAGCCTGCTTGTACCTCCACTTATCCACGAATATCTTCATCTCCCTCGATACCTCAACAACTTGCATCACCGAATCGAAAAACCCACCCTTAACCAACGCATACAGAAATGCATCCACCAAAACATTATCCAATTCGAACTTTTTGTCCGAAACCTTCCTCCTCACCTCATTCCACAGCATCAACACACTGAAATACTTCTCCAAGGCCATGTAGCCATTGATGAGGGACAAATACGTCTGACCGTTAGGCTCAAACCGAAGAAAAACCATCCTCCTGAACGTCCTCCGAGCATCCTCTAACCTCCCGGCCTTGCAAAAGGCATGAATAATCGAATTCCAGTCGTGGGTCCCGATTTCAATCCTAGGGTCCTCAACGATTTCATCAAGAAATGAAGCCATTAGTTCGGGCCTGTGGTGTTCGGTCAGGCCCGTCATAATTGTCAGGTAGCTCGTTTTCAAGTCACTCGTTCTCGACTCTCTCATGTCACGGAAAATAGAAAATGCCGAGCGAAAATCTTGGCAAGACATGGATGACTCGATTAGAGCATCGTATGTTTGTGTGTCCAAATGCAGGCCTAAGCTTCCGATTTCTGTGACTAATTGGGCAGCTTCTGATGTTCTCTGCTCTTTGGAGTATGCTTTCAAAATCGGGACATAAACTCCGAGCCCAATAGAAGCACCTTGAGCATTCATTTCATCGAGAACTGAATGAGCCCTGTCTAGTGAATTGAGACTGATACAAGCAGTTATGACTCCATAACCGAAAGACCCCTCAGCCACAACAGCTGAAGAAGGCTCGAGTTTTTGGGTTTCAATTATCAAATTCGATATGTTCTTGTGATTCCCGTTCTGTAAGAACCCTTTCACGATCTCACTACAAGTTTCTAAAGTAAAACGCTGTCCTTCTTTTACCCAGCGCAGTATAGAAACAGAAACTAATTCGAAATTACCGGACTTCACATACCCACAAACAACATTATGCAAGAAATTTGTTTTATCAGAAACACCAAGCTTACCAATCAAGCCCTCTAGCTCGATCACTTTCCCGTCAAGCCCCTTAACCGCATATAAATACGCCAGCAACCCAAAACTAACGTTGTCCGGCCTAATCCCCAAAGCCGACATTTTATCAAACACCTTCTCTGCATCAATAACCGACTCGAGTTCCCTGCAGTAGCACTCCAAGACGGCATTACAAGCAACCAAATCGGGCTTCATAAAACCTAATTTCTCATCGGTGACAATACTACAACACTCGCTGAATAAGCTCAGAAAAGCAGCAAAGCTTCCGTTTTTCCTGCAAATATCGATCAAAACGGGACCCCATATCTCGAATGGCATGAAGAACCTATTGCCTAGCATGTTCTTCACCAGCGCCACAGCCGGGGCGCTGGTGTTGGCCTCCTTCATGGAGATTAGAAGCGTCTTAATGCTGTCATACTCTAACAGGGACGGATTTTTATCCAGCACGAAGACAGCCGAGGCGAACGCCCGCTTGAGGTTGAGCGTGTCGGAAAGCGAGGACAGGTGCGTGATCAGCGAGTTCGTGAGGGGCTTGCTGGGGAAGGAAGCGGCAGCGGTAAGGGCCTTGAACGATTTCCAGGCGTCGTCGGTGTTGCCGTTGAGGAGGGATAGGTGGAGGGATGATTCGAGGGCGGAGTTTTCGGGTCGGGCGGCGGGATTTGTCGGGTTGAGATTTTGGGAAATTGAGGGTTGTTGGGGCCGTGTTGTCTTTTTGGGGGAGAAAATTGAAGGCTGGAGGAAGGAGTAAAGGGATGGGATATCTGGTTCGGATGAAAAGGGTCGTCGTCTAGTGAGAGAAAACAAGCGTAGTGCCGTTGGCCGCATTTCTGCACTGCCACCATTTTCGCCGCCGGTGGAAGCATATACTATATAATTAACAGCACTTTGTGTTTTAAATAAAGATGTACTTACTGTCAACAAGCTGGAATAGCTCAGTTGGTTAGAGCGTGTGGCTGTTAACCACAAGGTCGGAGGTTCAAGCCCTCCTTCTAGCGATTTGTAGTTTTTATTATATAACATTTTATGAGTTTGCATTTGTTTTCCCATTTTCTATTTTCTAGCCATTTGTATTTTTTTTTTTTGTTATTGTTTCCCATTTTCTAACATTTCAATTTTGTATTTGTTTTTCCATTTTTTATTTTTTAATTTTTTTGAAAAATTCTACAGAACCATCGGATGGCTCCTTTATAGAGCCATCCATAACTTTATGCAATTTCTAACTTTTCAAGTTTGCATTTTTTGCTACCATTTGAAAGTCCATTTTGCATTCCATTTTATATTCTTTTTCTCACATTTCAAGTTCTAAAATTTTCACCCAAAAACTAAATAAAATGTAATTTGCCCCAATTTTATTCCTTTTCTTTCTCCTTCTACCACGTTTTTTCCTTTTCTGACATTTTAAGTTCCTATTTCATTGTATTTTGTTTCACATTTCAAGTTATAAATTTTCACCTAAAACTAAATAAAATGTAATTTGCCATGTCACATTTGTTTTGAGCTTAGTTGATGAGATATACTATGTTTTATTTTCAGTTTTGAGAAGTTATAGAGCATGCTTGTGGTTTGTGAAGTTTTGGTAAATTTTAGAAGCTTGAAGTTGTAGCTTGAGCCTTGTTTTGTGCTCTGATTTTTGCCTAGTGTGGCTGAGCCATTTGAAAGCCATTTATATGCTTAGATATCAGATTTAGTTTCAGTTATTTAAAGCCTTCTTGAGCTTTAGATTTGTTGAGAAAAGAGAATGCATATATGTTGAGTTAAGTCTTGTTGAAGATTTTGGCTGAGGCTGTTGGGCATGTCTTCTAAAGGTGTTGTCATGTGATGAATGAAGGCAGAATGTTGATGTTTAATTTTCAGTTTTGGAGTTTAGAAACATGCTTAGATTATAAAATGATTTAAGGGACTTTGAGTCATATTATGGATCTTATTTTGGTCAAGAGTTTAACCTCTGTTTTAGGGTGATTAAATGCTAAAAATGTGAAGTTCCATCAGGTTTATTTTCAGTCAAGAATCAGCTTTGAGGCTTATGTTTGTTTTTCAAGAAAAAAGAGTTTAAGTGTGTGTTGTTGTTGCCTTTCTTGTCGTGTAATCTTGCGGTCGTTGTCATGTGTTCTTGTTGTGCTAATTGTGTAAATTTTAGAGTTAAGGTTCTTGTTGTTGCTTTGAGTTTAAGGAAATAAGAGAACCTTAGACATGGTTTATGCTGCCATTTTCGAGCCTAAGTTTGAATGCCTAGGACTCTAGACGAGTCAAGATAAGTCGAGAAGTTCAGTAGAAGTTTCATCTGTTTTACTTACCTGTGTGTACTTTATTTGCTTTATGTGGCTATTTGTCCTTGATTGCCCTTGCTTGCTTTGTTTGTTTGCTTGTCCTTGCCTGTCTTTGCCTGTTTTTCATAATAAGATAGATAAATTTAAATTGTAGATTAAGGGCACGTTTACTTTGAGGGATAAGATTGATAAGGTAAATTATCCCTCACTATCCTCTGTTTACATTGATGGATTTGGATAGAAAATTCAGATGTGGAATCACATGTGTCGGTGGGCCCCACACTGAAATG